GTCTGAGTATCCATCCAGATATCCCCTTAACCACAGGAATAGGAAAAAAGTACCCCCCAAAAAAGAGCTTTGGCCTAAAATAGTAGGCTGTGTGCTTACCTTATTAGGCAACAGCACTTGTCTCAAGACCAAGACCAGACTCGAATACTACAACACTGCTGGCTGATGAACTTAAAGCAAGTGTCTACAAATGAGGTCCTGGATAAACTACTCCCGTGGGTTTGTCCAATCTTAACTTAGCTTAACTGGAACTAGGCATAGCCACCTTTGCCAAGCTTTCAGAACAGCAGAAAAAAAAGAAGGCTAGCAGACTTTTTATTGGGGGCAGAAAAAACGATAACGGCTCATTACAATGTTCTTGTCTCCTATGATGTCAAAGTTTGGTAGAAAGATGTAGGCGTTGCTTCCCACTCTAATACAACAGTGTGAAAATACCTGAACAAGACATCAGAGCAAGATGTGTGTATGTGCACTGGCCTGGTCCCTCACAAAATCATTTGAGGTAATTTCATAAAGGTTACCTATTAATATTTAACCCTTCAAGATCGACTCGAACAGTGTCTATTTTTTCTGTTTAATGTGCTCTTCTCTATGAATAATGCAATTTTTCTGTGCTGTTATGTTTATTTGATGTGTAAAGAACATGAACAAAGTTGACATGACATTAGCAGAGCTGAAGATTTGTCAACTTTTATTCGGTTTGTCTCACAAACTACATTATTGAACACGCAAACACATAATTAGGAATATTGGTCAAACAGCAGACACAGTTTTCTTAACTCTGATAAACTCAGTCAAGCTCGGTGCTTACTAATTTGGACTATGCTCTGAATGAGCTTTTACGTTCACTCTGAAAAAAATCAGGGTACATCCGGCAGAATGTGCACACACCATAACTCTTCTGGCACCAGATATAAAGGAGCATAAAGGGCCATGGGCAAATTCTAAGAATGGATTGCTGGCGAGATGCTCAGTTTGATAGAGTTGAGACTCCAGGCTTATTACATCCTAAGGCCTGTCATGCAGTGTTATTCAGTAATTACATGGACTACAGTGCAAACAAGCTGGCTTATTCTTAAATTATAGAAGCATTTACTGGAAGTTTGGACATGTTGGCAGGTCCTCGCCATTTAGGAGATTAACTAAATTTGTAGGTCATAATTAAATTTGACTAAATAACAAAATAGTGACTATAAAAATAAATATTACAGACATACCTTTTAAAATTATATTGATGGGAAATTATGATATGAATGTAACATCAGTAAATGATAGTAAGCTAGGTATTTTTTTTTAGTTTAATTGCTGTGTGCTAGCTAGGTGTCTTGCTTACAGCTCACACTATACTCACTACTTCAGAGTAGACTACCATACTGATACAAATATATTTACATGATTTACAGAACGATGGCAAGGTTGTATTTCTTCTTCATTTCCTGATCCGCTTAAAACACAAATGTCAATTAAAGATTTAAAATCTGAGGAATTACATGTGAGAAAGACTACAAACATCTGATGATCAGTTACTCCATTAGTATGGACGATTCTCCGCCCTCAGAGATAAAACTGCTCCTATTTTATTATAAACATTTATTAGAGTAAACATTGCTGTCCCGTGCGAGATGATAGTGGACACCTCACAGTGGGACTATAACCAAAGACTCAGAGGAGACAAATGTTCTTTGCTTTGTTCAGCTGGCACTGTCTGGAGACACACCTCCACCTGTTTTCATCACGCGCATGTTCGGGTGCTCTCTCGTGGCACAGGGGTGGTCACAGTATTAGTGGTACAAAGCATGAGATCCGGTCTCAGGTAAAAGGTATGGTCCTCTGGGGCTCGTCTGGGCAGCTCCTACATGTAGGCCAGTTATTCACAGATTCAGTCACGTGAAACTCACACTGGGTCAGAACTGTTTAATGTACAGAATACACTTTGTGTTGAATTGGCTTCATGTGTTCTGTAAATTCCTACACGCAGGGTGGTGGCTTGTGGAAAATTACCCCAGCAGGTCATTTTTAGAATGTGCCAGTACACTGATATCAGACAGTGTTCATTTCATGAAAGGAGGAGAGAACTTGATGTGTCCTTTTTCCCCCCACTGTATGTTGGAGTCCTCATTCATTGTTCAGGGAGAGAAAGAACTGAAAGGCAGTGAAACTGATGTATTAGGACGAAATGGAGGCAGGAAGTGATGTATTGGGATTGAGGCTGAAGACTGAAAGACTGAAGGTCTGAGGCTGAAGCAATGAAGCTGAAGGCCTGAGATTACGGGTCTCAGATGGAGGAATTGAGACAGTGGGACTTATTTTTAGGTAGGATTGAGGCTGACAGTGAGACTGAGATGGACCTACAGGGTATGAGGTGGAAGAACTGAGACTGAATGCAGAGGGACTATGGAGTTGATCCCCCTTTGCTTTTGTAACAGCCCCACTCTTCTATGAAGACTTTGCTCTCAATTTTGGAACATGGCTGTGTTGGTTCACGTCCACAGGAACATAAGTGAGGTCTTGCATTGTTGTGAGGCATAAGGCCTGGCTCAGAATTGCAGTTCATTCTAAAGGTGTTGGATAGAGTTGAAGTCAGGGCTCTGTGCATGCCAGTCAAGTTTGTCCACACCAATTTTTTATCCACTTTGTTTTGTACATTAAGCAGTAAAGGGCCTCCCTCAAACTGTTGCTAGAAATGTAGAAGCAAACAGGTCTTTCGATTGTAATTATATGCTGTAGACTTAAAATCAAAGGACCCACTCCAAACCATGAAAAACAGCCCCAGACCATTATTCCTCATACACAGAACTTTACAGTTGGGACTGTTAATTTGAGCAGGTAGTGTTTTTCTTCATTTGCCAAATCCAGATTTGTGCAGGTTGATCTTAGAAGAAAGGGTTCTTCTATCGTTACAAGCTTGACATTGTAACAATACAAGAACTCTGTTTGGTGTTTTGGTTTTAAAAAAGGTTTCAGGTAGAACCATATACAGCACATTCCCCATGAATCAGAAGAATCCCTTCACAATGCAAAGAACCCTTTAATTATGCATTGGTTCTTTGTTTCTATATGGAGCCATTTATATAGTGTGTCTTATAGGGCCACTATCTTTAAAGAGTGCTTGAAGAACGTTCTGTTTTAGGAGTGTACTGTGACTGTATCAGGGAGGGTTTCTTGGCTAGCTTTGTGTTTTTGCTCAGTGGTGGAGGTGTTAGGAGGGAAAGGTAAAACATAATATTACTGGTTATTTGTTGATTTTAAATAAAAAGCACTGCTTCTGTAGAGATCTTTCTCTTAAGTACACGTAAAAGTATTCATGAAGGAAATTACTCAAGTAAGAGTAAATAAGTTGTGTTGTGGCACCAAGTGTGTCCCAATGTGTTGACAGCAATTCCATGGGTGCAAGTTTGCTATTTGAGTGGCAGGTACTAGCATTGAGTCCAGAATTGTTTCATTATACTTTATTTAGTCAATAGTTGGATTCCTTGAGTTGGGTGATTTTTTTTGCATGTATCTAAGACAGTTAAGGCAATTAGAGGATAGAGACATAACTGGACGCATGACTTCTGATGGCGTAAGTATGTTAAATAATGTAGGCCAACAGGAATGATAGTGCTTGAGACAATTAAAAAGCTGGAGTTTACAATACTGCAAATGAAGTATTATTAATTAGTAAGTTTCAAATACAAACTTCAATTCCAAAAATACTTGGACAGCATGTGAAATCCTAATAAAAAAGCAATGATTATGAAATTCTTTTCGACCTATATTAAAATGAAAACAAAAACACAACAGTAGAAGTTTCATACATTATAATGTTAACTATTGTGTCACATCACCTTTCCTTTAATCTACTTTAATTAACTATATGAGGTCTTTGTTGTCATATTTTGTGCTACATAGTGCGCCACACGTTTCCAATGGGAGACAGGCTTGCTGTTACAACCCCATGCTGTTGTAGCACATACAGAATGTGGTTTGCCTTTGTCATGTTGAAATAAGCATGGATGTCCCTGAAAAAAGACATCATAGGCCATGTACTTCTCCGAATGTGTATATGTTTTAACATTTATTGTACTTTCAGATTCATGGGCACTAATACCCACATGCTATGACAGACCTGGGTTTAAACTTGATGCTGGCCTGGAGAACACAAAGCAATATTTCCATAATCTGTAAGGTTAACTAGTCAGACCACGATACACATTTCCTCTGTATATTTTTCTATTTCAAATAAGCCCAAGCCCAAAGAAGTCAGCAGCATCTTTGACATTGTTTATAAATGGCTTCTGTTGTGTCGAACAGTTTTAACTTGTGTTTGTGGATGCAGCAATGAACAGTGTTTATTGACGATTGTTTATTAACATATTTTTTGAGCCAACAGGGTGATATGCATCACAGGATCATGCCAGTTTTTTTCATTTAACATTGTTCCTAGTTTTCAGTTGTCCCAACTTTTTTGGAATTGAGGTTTGTAGTAATTAAACACAGAGAGCTGCACTGACTTGCTTATTGCTGGGTTGCTGCCATGCACAGTGAAGGTCCTGCTGCTACCAGGTAAAAAGCAAGGGGAGAGAATGTCTACAACAGAATAACTTTCAATTTGAAAACATTTCTGTGTTGGTTGTATCATCTTTGTACAGAGAAAACTAAATTAAAACTGGACATTACATCAAAACTTTTCAACAGAGGTTTTTAAAACCTGAGACTAATTACAGTGTTATGCTAATATACATTAAGTACGTCCTTCTGTGTAATGTCTAAGGTTATCCAGGCTGCCCATTACGTTCAGGTACTTCCAAAGGAACATTAAGCAGTAGCTTAAAGCCCTGGCTTAGTTTGGTCTCCTGTGTCGTTTTGCGTCACAGATATTTCACTGTTCTCTCTGCATATAGTAATGTAATCGCTTTGTGCGTGTGTTGACATTGGTGTGTGCATGTGTGTTTTCTCCTGCAGTTGATATAAGGTGTGTTTGTTGTGTGTGTGTCTCTGCATGTGTTTTTCTTTTGCAGCTGGTGGTTTAACGTGGGCCTGGTGCTCCTAGCTGTGAGTCTGAGCCTGGCAGCGTTCTGTATCGTGTATCTGGAGTGGTTCAGAGGGATCAAACACTATGATCAGGAATATCCTGCTGTTCCACCAATCACCACTGCAGCCTTCATCGCTGCCTCCTGCAGGTCATTGTCTGTATTACACGTCACACTCCTGAACAGCCACTAACAAAATTCCATCAACTGGCAAATACAGTTATATAAAAATGGAGTCAAAGCACTCATTTAGGCAGTTGATAGTTATGCTTAAATGTTGTCTTCACTTTGATCATTCTGTAGTGGCAGCACACCTTAACCCTGCATTCACATCGGCAGCGACGCGATGCGACAAAGTGTCCGGAGGTCGTTGGTTGTCAATGAGAGCTGGCGATTTCCAGCGATAGGAGGCGGTGCGAACGTTGGTGACGCGAAGTTAGCGGAGTCAGCGACGCGACAAAGTTGAGCGAAGTTTAACTTTATGCTAATAAGGAGCAAAGTGATGTGCCAATAACCTATAGAAATTGAGCATTGAGCAGCGTAATACGCGCTTTATCTCCTCCCCTGTGAAACAGTACGTTCCATTTTTGGTTCCTAGATAGTTGTTCCTACTAGAGATTGAATAATGGCAGTGGTGCATTCGTCGCAAATAGACAGTAATCACAAAGACCAAATAGCGTTTTCCTCACAAACTGACGCAGACACAGGGATTAAATAAAAATAAGCACACAAGCGATTTCTCACCAGGATTTTTAATTCTAGCGGGAATGCATCTGATTTGTGCTTGGTGTCAGTGAAACCATGGCAACCAACGGTCCGCTCGAGTTCAGAAACGCCCACAGGCGATGAGCAATCAGCGATCTGGACGACAAGATGCGAAAATTCGCTACCGGTGTGAACACAGGGTTGTACTGATCTGGGGGTGCATTTTGCAAAAGATTTGTAACATAATTCATTCATTTGACATTAAGAATCTGTGTATTAGCCATTCCTAACTAAAGTAGAATAGAAAACTGTTCATTGTTTTCATCTGTTGTACATCAGACTTATTTTTTAATTACATAATGTAGGGAACGCTATACGTTTGGTCTTTAGGGGGGAAAAATACAATTCAGCAGTAACAGAAAGAATTCATTGATGAAAACAGCTTTAAAAAAAGTCATCATTCCAAAGAATTAATCAGGTTTAAAAATGTTTGATTAAGGGTATTCGTTGATGTTCATTTAATTCATCAGCAACCACTCTTCTGTTCCTCCACCCCAACACTTGAACAGTTTTCTGTCAATTATACAAATATGACTGTTCTCACACATTTGAATGTCTCATGCTGCTCCTGGTTCATGTGACTGTGGAGGGCGTTTGCCTGGTGATAGAAGTCATTCAGACTTTGGGTGTGCCGATGACAGTGCAGGATCTTTTCAAGCTTTTCAGGCAAAAGCTCTGATGATGTAAGGTGCTCTATTGTATTTTTGAATGTTTCCATTTTACTTATCCCCTCTATTCTTATCTTATAATACAGTTGAAAGGATGCATGATGATCTGCCAAAGTGTTTCATCTCTTCTCGTTTGGAGCTCCAGAATCATGTAGCACTCCTTGTTCAGTCTCTGGTTGATCCTAAATCCTGTAAAACGTGACATGTCATCAAACATAGTTAGCTAATACTCACATAAGGTTGATACAGATGAATGCTGCTACAAGCTTGTCTGTCTCAGTGATATCACTCTTGCGGTGACATGCAATTTCTCACTGTTTTGTTTAGCCTATAAATACACAAAATATTTATTTCTAGATTTTTTTTCTATTTTTTGTTATGGAGGTACGATGGGTCCAGCCTGTACTGCAGGGGTTGCTTGGGCATGTTGTAGGCCTGCGGTGCCGAGTAAAGGCTAAATGTGACCAGACCATAGCCCGAAGTGTGCGGGTGCAGGTGTGGGTGCTGGGTGGGCATGTCATATGGGTGAAGCAGGCTCATGCAAATAGGATCAGCATTAGATATTGTGGGTGGAAGCAGTCAGCACTCACCCACTTCAATCAAATATATGCCTCCCAGTGCCTGCAAAAGCTGTTGTCATTCCTGCACACGCCTCGAGGTCTGCATATTAATGAAGTGCATATTTAACCCTTTTATCTGTAGCCTTGTTAAGTTATTAATCTGAAAACCTTTTATTTAGTAACTAGTAACTTCTATGGACTATTCAGTAAATACAGAGAAGCTAGAGCCCTATTTGAGCTGCCTTAGATTTCCCTGGGGGGGTTTAATTTAAATGATTTTCCAACATTTAATCCAGTATGAATCTGCAATGTCCGTAGATTTTAAGTCTGCTACGTAATAATTCCGGAGCAAATTACCTTCAATAATTCGCCAGCCTCAGAGCTCCCTCAGTAATAGTGGTCCTGTTTGAACAGACACAGTAATGCAAAACTACACACTTTTTACAAAATTATGGTTCTTCAGGGGTTCTTTAGTAAGGAAAATGGTTCTTTATAGTACCATGAACACTCAAAGAACCCTTCACATGATCACAATCACTTTGCATCGTGAAAGGGTTCTTCAGATTAATGGAGAATGTGTTGCAACTTTCTGAAAAGTGATCTGTATAGCTCTAAAAAGGGTTCTTCTATTGTTACAATGTCAAGCTTGTAATAATAAAAGCACCCTTATATAGAACCGTTTTCTTTAACGAAAAACCCTTGAAGATCCAACATTTTTAAGCATGTAAGTAATACAAAACGGCTCACGTAAACATCCGCAAGCTGGTGTTTTGACCATTATTTGGTGCCATTTGGGGAAATTACACAGATCCTTTATCCTGTATGAAACGACCTGTCAAAACGCATACATTACATCCAGCTTGAAAAGGACTTAATATGTAAGTTATGAGGGTGAAGAATTGAAGAGTCCATGTATGGTTGTTTATTCATGAAGGTGAGCTAATTCACAAATGCACCATATACAGCAGGGATCTCAAACTAATGACAGTTTCATATGGCTTGTCACAGATTCACAGTTTATTCTTAAATCTTAAAATTATTAGATTTGCTTCACTCACCAGACACTGTGGCTGGTTATCTAACATAAGCTTAGATTGATACTTAGGCTGTTAAAAGAAAAACTAGAGTTCTGCATGCAAGAGAAACCATCCAAACAAAAACCTGATGTAGCATGAAAGCTGCACATTTAGCAGGCATGACTGAAATGTAAGTATAATTAGCTTAACTATTATTGTAATTTAAAGTGATAGTTAAGTTTTTCTTAGTGTATTCATTTGTGACAAACTGGTAGGTACAGCATATAACAATTAAGAAATGAATGGAATTATCAAGCGAATCCCCTGAGAATGCAGAATTAGTCATTCATTTTGGCCACACTTCACTTACAACAACTTTACTGTTATCATAGTAAGAATCACATATAATACTGCTGTTAAATGTAAGTTTACTTGATTTAGTTGAACACTAAATATATACAATGAGGGGAAACAAGTATTCAGACACTTTTTTGTTATTTAATATAGTTACAGTGCATATATTCACTTCAAATTTACTCACATATTATCTTTCAACTTTGTTCCTGAAATTGTTGGGCAAACAGTTTAACACAAAATATACACTTATGTAAAGGTTAACAAAAAAAAAAAACACATTCTACTATTAATATAAAATATAACAATAAAATGTTCTCATGCAGATTGCACCTGGTGTCCCTATAAAAGACAGGTGCACCATGCAAGATTTCTCTCAGAAATGAAAGAGAAAAGCCAGCAGTCATTTGAAAAGAGTTGCAGAACAACCTGAAGGCAGCAGTTACACAATATTTACAGTTCCATAACAATAAACAGTGAACTGAACTGTGATCATTTCTGTTCCTGCACCTCACACAATACTAAAAACAAGCACAGACATAAAATTTTCCGAGAATTTAGACAATTCTGAACAGTGTACTCTGAACAGACGAAACAAAAACAGAGCGCTTTGGCAACAATTCAGCTTGTTGTGCTTAGAGAAAGAAGGGTTGCACATGTGATCCCAATAACACCATATCTACAGTGAAGTATGAAGGTGGGAGCATCATGATATTAGGCTGCTTCTCTGCAAATGGTAATGGGGCTTTACACGTCATCAAAGAAAACATGAATGGAGCAATGTACCAGGACATATTAGAGGAGAATTTAATCTCATCAGCAAGACAACAACCACAAACATACAAAATAACTGAAGACTGCTTTCTAAAAGGGAAGGAAGTAAAGGCGCTTGCATGGCCTAGTCAGTCTCTTAACTTGACAACAGAGAAAGCCTTGTAACCTTGGGGATTTGAAAATGGTTTGCTAAGAAGAAAGAGCCAAAATTGAACCAAAATGCTGCAAAAACTAAGATGTACTTAAATTAGTTTATATAGTCGCTGTCACGTTATTCCATTTTTAGTTTTCTCTTTCTGAGATCAGCAGATGCCATTTACATTGTGTGAAAATTGATGAATGGACCAGTAGAAATGTTCCAAAGTTACATAGAATAACTTTACATTAACTTACATGTAAAGGTAAGAAAGTGTTTGCTGTCTTTTTTACCATTTTGAAGATACTTACTTCTCTTTGGACAACGACGATATGTTATATGTAGTTAAAATTCATACTTGGAAAATAGAAATAGGACACCTTTTCCCATATTTTCGTTTAAACATTTGTATGAAACATTAAATTACAAACTGCGGTGTGGTAAGGTAGGATGACGTAAGTCAGTGCGAATACTTTCCAAAGGTACTATATAAATACACACATTATGTCTCACACAAGAACAAACGATTTGTGTGCTCAGTGTGTTTCTGTTTGAATTTGATTTTCGGTGACCGTGGGCGAAAGTTTGAACTGTAATTCGTATTCACTGGGAATCTTTTGAATCCTTTTTCTTCATTCAGAAAATCTTGCACAAATGTTACAGCTTTCTACACCCCACAAGTGTTCTCATGGATGGATTAGTTATGTCAGTAGAGTTCTGTTGTGCTTTGTTGTAGGAATAAAATATTCATTTGCTTACTGAAAACAAGTACACAGTGTAGCATTACGCTTAAATTTGGCATATACACTGACCGGCCTCTTCATTCACTACACCTTCTAGTTTCTGCACTCCCTGTCCATTTTATTAGGTTAACTTACCATATAATTGCACTTTTTTGTAGTTACAGACTGTAGTCAGTCTGTTTCTCTGCATAATTTGTTGGCTCCCTTTTAACCTGATCCTCAGTGGTCAGGACCCTCACAGGACCACCACAGAGCAGTTAATCGTGAAGGTCTCAGTTTATTGCCAATTTGAGAAATCTTGAATGTGTCTCTGTCTTTGAGCTAGTCTGTTCGTGAACTGTCCACTCACTGTCCACTCTGTCAGACACACTATCTTGTTGGTCCACCTTGTAGGTTTAAAGTCAGAGAGAGTAGCTCGTCTGATGCTGCACAGTTTGTGTTTGTCATTCTCTAGTCCTTCATCAGTGGTCACAGGATGCTGCCCACACAGCTCTGTTGGCTGGATATTTTTGGTTGGTGGACTATTTTCAGTCCAGCAGTGACACAGAAGTGTTTAAAAACTCCAGCAGCACTGCTGTGTCTGATCCACTCGTACCAGCGCAACACACACTAACACCACCACCATGTTCATGTCGCTGCACCTGGTCTCTGTGGCAGTATAGTGTAGGGTGGTTGTGGTAAGTTTGTGAAATGACTCAAAGATGCATTCAAGATTTCTTAGGCATAAAAGGCATTACACTGATAACTTTACATTCTTCTGGTCTCTCTAGCAATAAGAAACAGAGCCTGTTGGAGCAACAATCTTTTTCCATAAAGTATTTTAGAATCTTTGAAAGGCTCTGGATGGTACATTGTTGTTCAATTAAGCCTGTTTTTATTATTTGGCTTAAAAAAACTATAATTCAGTGAGTTGTGAAAATAATATAAGCATACCTGATATAATCTGTAGTGAAGCGATCTCAGCACATAGCAATAAAACTGCAATATGTTTTTATTCATATACCATACAGCCCTTGTGTATTTAGGGTTTAATTATAGTCTTAGTTTTTATACGTTTGATGTTCTGAAGTGTGTGTGTGTGTGCGTGTATGTGTGTGTGTGTGCGTGTATGTGTGTGTGTTTGTTTTACAGTTTTAACATTGCACTGTGGCCTGTGTGGTCCTTCCTGACTCCAGTGATTCTCTTCACTCAGTTCATGGGAGTGGTGATGCTCATCTCTCTGCTGGGATGAGACTCTTGCATACTACAAGGCAAGAACATATACTATACACATACACATACATGTACAATAGCGTTCAAAAGTTTGTAATCAGTGTTTTTCTGTAATATAAAACAAACATCATTCTTATACATGGATTGACCACTTCATTAAGTACGCCTCTTGTATCTACACTCATTGTCCATTTTATCAGCTCCACTTACCATAAAGGTGCGCTTTGTAGTCCTAAAATATCCGTTTCTCTAAATGATTTGTTGGCCCCTTTTTGTCCATTCCTTTAATGGTCAGGTCCCACAGGACCACCACAGAGCAGGTATTATTTGGGTGGTGGATCATTCTCTGATGTTGTGGTGGCATGTTAGTGTGTATAGCACTGGTACAAGTGGATCAGACACAGTGATGCTGGAGTTTTTAAACACATCACAGTTAACACGAGTTTCCACTTCCAGATGTATTCAGTCAGCTTTGGTTTATAAGTAGTGCTAAAAGTCTAATGTTGCTAACAAATACCAGACCTCAATAGTCACCCAGCTAGCCTAGATCACTTTAGACAGCACCAAGGCTGGTATTTACAATGCAGGATTGATCATGGATCAGATTCCTTCATATTTATAGCAGTCATTGGCCCAGATGCTGTTTCACTCCTGAGGAGGACACTGTTGTCTACAGTGGATGCTTGCTGTTTTTAATAGTTCCTAGTTATTCCCATCATACAGTGGTTTAAACCACTCCGACAAGTCTGCTCGACCTTAATAAAGATCTGGATGCAGTTTAAAGAAGTCACAAATCATCAGCCTCATAGCTCCAGTTATAAACTAAAGAACCATTATTTGCACTCCAAACATCTTTTGGCCGCTCAACTACATCTGTGGTAAGTGGGAAAATTGTGAAAATTAGATTTTTCTCTGACCCATCTCTTTAAATGGTGCATGAAAAATATATAAACAAAACAATTCAAGCTCCACCTTAAAACAAGCACACACAAATGTTTTAATTCTAGCAAGGCTTAGTTCTTTTATTTTTAGCAGGCAGTTAAATGGTCTTGAAATCTGGAGGTGCACCGACACTTCCCAAATTCTTAATTGAACATCTAATTTTTAAATTAGTAGTTTAATGTACATATAACATATATATTACCTATAACAAATTAATAATCAAAGAAATGAAAAGTGATTTCAAACTTTGAACATTGGTGTACATGCATTCTCATTAAATGCACTTGGTGGGGGGGGTTAGGCGGAACGTTTGGCTTTTTCCATGCAATGTGTCTTCTGTATGTGAACTGTGTGGGCGTGTTTACCCAGGATGCAGATAGTGAGCTGCTGACACAACTATCATCAGTGTATCAGGTGACACAAAATGACCTTTTGCTGTGCTGAATGGAAGCGATGAATACAGTTTTCTGTTTCTTTTACAGAGTGACCGTGACACACTGGAGTCTGGAACACAATCCAGTCTGTCTGTATTTAAATAATGTGGAATTCCCTCTTTTATATCACTAGTTTCATAGCAGCGGTGTCCATGTTTTTACTCTGTTTTTCAGTGTAACTTATTTTATATGTATGTGTCCCAGCCAGTGACTAAAGAACATGATGTTACCAATTAAATGCCTGTGGTCAGTGCTGTTTTCAAATAAAATAATTTACATTTCATCTTCATCTATCTGCTCCCTTTTTGGTTCCAGTGTGGACAGTAGACCAAATTAGATTGTTTGTAAACAAAGGTTGGCTGTATTTCTGACTGGATAACACATCCAGTCATGTTGGAAACAGCTCAATTCATGGATATGAGCCCAGTTGCAAAATAGTTGGGACATTATATGAAATTCCAGTAAAAACAGAAAGCAGTGATTAGTAAATTCTGTTTGACTTGTATTCAATTGAAAACACAATGTTTGAAGTTTCATCTATTGAACTTTTTTAATAAATATATGCACTTTCCAAATATGATGCATGAAACACATTCCAAAAAAGTAGGAACAGTAGCTTGTTTACTTCCTCTTTCCTTTTAACAACATTTAGTAATTGTTTGGAAACTGAAGACCCCAGTTTACCCCAGTTTTGAAAGCAGAATTTTGTGCTATTCTTCAGTTATATAAATCTTTAGCTGTGCAGCTATACAGGGCCTTCATTGTCATGTTTTGCACCACATGTCAACAAGAGACAGGAAGGTCAATCTAGCACCCCCATCCCTGATTATGCAGCCATGCTGTTGTAACACACAGCATGTATATGTTGTCATGTTAAAAAAATAAGCAAAAATGTCCCTATCTAAAAGGCAGCATACCTTTCAGTGTTTCACAGATGTGCAAATCACCCACAAATACCCTCATATCATGACAGATACTGGTTTTTGTACTTTACGCTGGTAACAATCTGGTCCTTTTCTTCTTTGAGAACACAATGTTCATTAATTCCATAAACAATTTACTTGCCAGACCGCAGTACACATTTCCACTGTGCATCAGTCCATTTCAGATGAGCTAGAGCCCAGAGAAGTCGGCAGTGTTTCTGGATGTTAACATATGACATCTGCTCTGCATATGTCCTTTTATATCCAAGCATTATTATATCACCTCTTTTCAAATGTTTTCTGGAAATTTTACAACATTCTTAGTCTTGCGTTGATCCTGTGCTAATTTTTTTGAGGCGTTGCAGGCATCAGTTTCAGAATGAGCATACATTTACAAGATAAAAGTAAATATTTTGTCTTTTTACTGTTTTTTCACATACACTTTTGGAATTGGATTTGCACAATTTACTGTAAATACATACAGGACAGACAAAACATTGGCAGTTGACATTGTTTGAGGCTGTAATGTCAAATGTACCCATGCGATAGTTTTGCTTGATTCTAAACATGATGTTGTGTAATTGTGGACATTTGTGTGAGTGAGTATGCAGAACAGTGCAGTGCATCATTTCAGGCAACAGGTTAAACTAACCAGCAAGCAAGGTAGCTAATGTTAAATTAGACACTGTATTGTGACATCAAATGACCAAAAAGACTGTTGTTGTAACGAAATGTGTGGCTGGCCCATGTATATGATTACATTACAAGAATTAGCCACACAAAGTCACGCAAGTACTGACCTGGGCAGATCAGTTTAAAAAGGTTTTCTGCTTTTTCAATATCTTGATTAAATAAGTCTCAGGATTAGTACAAAACCCTGTTCTACAAGTGCTACCTGCATTATCCATCCAGAAGTCAAGTTCTTTGCTGTAGTGATGTAATATATTACCATTAAGGTGATAAAATGTGTCACAGTACACTTTCATGGGTAAGTCATGGGTCATTAGTACTTAGAACACTGAACAACTGCATGCATCATAAAAAGACCAATTATAAAGGGCCTGTAAACAACAATAACAAGTTTATTAGTAATTGCATGAATGGCATTCTAAAGCAGTAGAACACGAAAGGGAGTGTGTTACCGCGAAATAACATCGCGGCTGTGATGATCTATGGCGACCAAATCACAGCTGCGATGTTATTTCGCGGTAACACACTCCCTTTCGTGTTCACGATAACACACAACCTCGAGTGTTCTATTGCTTTTATACAACAGTCAAATAAATAAAGTAATAAATAAATAAATTGGTCCGTGAACGTGTCATTTAGTATGTTTTAATGTTAGCAATTCCTTCCGCCAAATTATAGTTCCTTAACAAGCAGCTTGTTGCTGCCTCAGAGTAACGAGCTCCCCTCACTGGCTGCACAGTCTGCTGTAAGCCTCACCTTTTATAGTATTGACTGAGCTAAAAAGCTACCGCAATATCAAGTTTAGCTCAGTTTTGTCATTTTTTGCTAGATCAATATTAATGTTGTTTTGTTCCAGCCAGTCTGTAAAGCATCTTACAGCTCATTTTGTTTGGCGAATGGTATTTGGTTCATTTCTGGCTGATTCCAGGTTGTTTAGGTGTTCTTCTGTCACAGCTGCCGACTGAAAAGCTGCTCAGTGGTGATGACAGTTTGGGAATTTAATGTAGTGTCATCTTCAGAGTCTGGCCAAATCCTGTCCGTCAAATGTGATCTTAAAAGTGTCCATTTTCTGTTTGTGTGCAAAATAAGAAGTAAAAATGTTCAAATGGCTTGAGCGTCTCTTACAGCTGCTTAGCAACGGCATCTCAGAGGAATGATAGTGTTTGTGAAAAAAAACATGCTGTTATGGCGAAATAACAGCGCGGTTAGAGTGCTTCTCAACCAGTCAGCTTGCCTGGCTGGAACTAACTGTTGTATAATAACAGATAGATGATTGGATGTCAGTCCATTGTGCCAGTATCTCATTTTATTAAATTACGTTCACCAATTTTTTCTGTCCATATTTTACCATTTTTTTCCATTTTTATTTCTTCTCTGATGACATTTGCAGTCTAGTACTGCACTATTTATATTTGCACCAACAATTACTGTACAAGTTTACTCTGCATATTTTTACATATGCACCTCCCACAGGACAGACTACCTCATAGGACAGGCCACCTCATTGTACGCTCTCCACTCACTCTGTATATATATATACTCTTTTCCAGCCTCCCTTTATCCCATAGAATTAAATAAGCTGTTATTGTGTTGATTGGCTTACATATATAGTGCCACATACAGAAAGCAGTGGGGCTGAAACACTCCTTATAACTTCAGCCTGAACTGCTGTAGGCTGTGGGTGGATATATGTCAGTGTGTGGGTTTTGGTGACACTACAAAGTCAATCAGTCAAATCTAAATGAGCTCTTTTTGTCACTTGATTTCCACATGTCAGTGCTGCCCAACATGGAAACTTTATAAGAGCAGGCAAAACATTCTTAACTTTTATTGTAAGTTAATGTAAATATGTAAAAGTTTCGTTCCACACAATGTAAGTTTCTTTCGTTCTTTTTTCTTAATTTTAGTAGTTTGGTTTGAAATGAGGTAAAGTTATGGATGGTGTGAGGCCAGTGACGGTCCTTGACATCCCCCATATGTCATTTCAACACAACAGCTGTTGTGTTCAAATAATGTAGAAAAAGAAAAGTTGACAAAAAAAGGAGATACGTGTTTGTCTTTGGACAGCGACAATATGTGATATATGAATATGTAATAAATATCTAATAATACAATGTAATAAAAGGTACACTTTGAAACTCCTATTTGAAACAAGTTCAGTTCTCAATAATCTTTTTAAGAGAAGACAGAGGACAGCTAGAGCTTGCTGGTGTTGCTTCTAATTTGCTTAGTTTGGGACAGTTCTAGAGCATGTCTTCTTCAGACTAGTGTCAGATATAGAACACTTTAAAAAACATAATTGTACATGACCAACTAGAAAACTTGATTTGAGCAGTATATAGGCATTGAGCACTTGCAGTGTGATGGGCTCTTAGATGGTTGTTAGCCATGTTGTGGAGACGAGCATGAAGAAACCATCAACATTAAGAAACTTCAGACTTGAGCAAGGCTTGAGGCCTGTGATTGCTGCAACACTCCCACCTCAACTGCTCTGCTTCAACCCAACTTCATGATCCTACACAATCATTTCCTTCCCCTTTTGCCTACAGAGGTTACCCTGGCGACAAGTGCAAGTACCTGCTCACACCTGTTTGTTAGGTGTTGCACTACTTTTGAAGTCCAGGTGAGATGGTCAGTTGCCGTGGTGTGGATCCTCATGCAGACCTGACCACATTACCACAGAATATGCTCTCTTAATTCCCTCTTTGTGGTCCATTGTGTAGTCATTTGACCCTCTTAAAGGCTCGGGGCCATCCTGCTTTTGGGAAAGGAAGGAGGGGTCAGCAAGTTCATGACAACCGGAAACATTTTAACCGATCTTTGATCTTTTTAATCTTCTGCTCTACAAACCTGATGTGTTTACTATAATAGGCTCTTTTGTTAGTCGTGCCCCTGTCTGGCGAAGTTTGCTTAACCATATGAGGCTCATTATTGTGCTACCACAATGAAAAAGAATCTTTCAAAAACCCTTGTTATTTATTTTTCAGTTTGTATTTGAAAAAAAAGTAAGTCTTACTTTTATATTTATAATATATGTAGTTTAGTATGCAAACCTTTCCCTGACAGGTAGAGGAAAAAAAAATTGTTCTGTTGTTCCCTATTTAGTATCTCAAATTAAGGACTTATTTTCTCAAATATTTGACTCAGTATCTTGAAAGAATAGTACACTAATACATTGAAATGTTTCTTGAAATATATATTGTATGTAAGTATATTGAACATTGAACTAATTACTTATTTTCTATATTTTGACTCAGCATCTTGAATTAACTACTTATTTTCTCTTAAGTAGAACTTTCACTTATTTTCTAGAAATAAGTGACATAATATCAACATGTTTTCCTATGATTCAATAATTAATTATTTCAATAATTCAAGAATTTAATGAAGGTATTTAATAAATGATTATTTAATCAGAAAAAAACATTGTTGAGATATTATGTCAACATTTCTAGAAAATAAGTCAAAATCTTGATTTGGTCTCAAAATAATGCCTTATTTTCTCAAAATTGTGACTAAATACTTTGAAATAATATTTTTCTCAAAATTGTGACTTAATACTTTGAAATAATAGTTTTCTCAAAATTGTTATATATATTATTATTTTTTTTAAATTTGGACTTTTTATCTCAATATAATGATTATTTTCTCAAAAATTTGTACTACTACT